TGGGTGGAGCTTCGCTTTAACTACTTCCTGACCACCCTATAGCAGAAATACTGTTACAGGGCGGCACAGGTGCGCAAAATCACGTGTATATGTACGTTATTCGCGCTCTCGTGGTTTTCACGCCCCTCCCAGATAGCGTCAGATTGCCCGTCAGTACACCAGTAATCACATTTAACCCCTTGATTGCCAGGAACACACTCATACACAATAAACCTCAATTGCTAGTATAGTGTCTGAACGGATCAATATCTTTGATCAGATCAGCACTATACCAGCGTTCACACTAGTATAGTGTCCCCAAAAACACAGTGTTAGCGGGATCAGCCCCGGCACCTGCCCGCAACTGCATTTAGCCCCTACGCTTACCCCCCCCCCTTTCTCCTCCAGCAAGTACAGTGTCAGTAGGTCACTGTCACTTGACACATTGCACACAAAACCACAGTGTTTGCAGAATCAGACCTGATCTCTGCTAGCACTTGTAAATTTTGATGACTTTTATATGCAGCAGAGTGCCAGTACTAGTGCCGCTTTACCTTTTGGTGAACTGGCCCCCTTGATTTTTTGGAGCTGTTTTTCACGGAAGATCTGTATGCATTGATTGTGGATCAAAGCAATTTATATGCACAACAATTTATCGCCGCGAACCCAAATTCAAATCTTGCCAGACCATTCGCATGGAAACTGTAATGGAACCGGACCCCGACTGCACTTGGGTATTTCCGTTAGACTCCAACTTCCCCATTCAAACACCGACCACAGACACCACTCTAGAAGTAAAACCAGGAAATAGACAACAGATACAAGATATAAACATTCAAGGGAACAATTCCCCCCTCCCTGCATAATGACACAGGGTGGGGGTAAACCACATCTATCAACAAGAGACACATCAGCAGACACCCCCTACCTAGCCACTACACAAACACATACATCCCATAATAGTTTGCTCCCAAGCAAAACACACAATAGAACAATGGGATGCAACCACATGGCATTAAACAATTAACAACCCCCCACACCAATATTAGGACATTTCACCCTGTACCTCTAACAGGCACAGGGTGACTTACACATAATAGGGATATGGGGAGCTGAGACAGGGGTCTCCCCACCCTCCAAAGTGAGCTGTGTTCCATGGGCCCCCCACCCAAAGTGACTCCAATCACATATCTCCCCTTTCGGCAGGAGACTGATGCAGGAGTAAACCCCAGACGGGTGGACTCCGAAGTTAGTCTGTACTTCCAGTCCCCAATGCCAGCACACACACAGTACCCCAAGCAAATTGTCCCAAACATAGCATTACTCATCCAGCCTACCTCTGCCTCTCCTGTAGAACATTCCCGCCGCTGGGAAGAAGTACGGACTGGTCCTTCTCCCTGAAGTCCTCTCAGCCGCTGGAGAGAAAACAGGGTGTTTGGGCCAACTCCATCATGCTGTTTGGGGATCTGGGCCGACTGCCCAGCATCCCTAGGGTATCCAGGTGGTGACTGTAGGCTCAGCCACTTTGACTTGATGGACATCCCCCCAGTGTTTGCAAAGTAAGGCTGACATCCTCCTGTCCCAATGCCAGACCCTTTTCTGGGGTTGTGTCAGTGGAGACCAAAGAGACAGATTTTTTTATGTGAACAAAAAATGTCAGAAAAGGCTTGGTCTTCAGGTGGTTAGAACAGTGAATGATGTGTGGCATAAATGTCTAATGCTGGGCATAGAATGCCGCCACCCCCCAAAACGACCCCTTTTTGGAAGGTAGACACCCCAAACTATTTGCTGAGAGGCACGTTGAGTCAATAGAAGAATTTATTTTCTACCACAAGTTTTTGAAAAATATTTTTTACACAAAATTGTCACTTAAATGATTTATTGCTCACACATGACATGGGTATATGCGGAATTACACTCCAAAATACATTCTGATACTTCTCCCGCCAGTCTAGCCAAGTATGGGACCCCAAAATCCAATAAGCACCTTCAGGCTTTTAAATGGCTTTATTTCCTCATTACACTTCCTGACTACCTATCACAGTTTTGGAGGCCCTGAAATGCCAGGATAGCACCCCAAATGACCCCTTTTTGGAAAGTAGACACCCCAAGGAATTTTATGAAGAATGTTGAGTATTTTGCAGATCTGGTTTGTTGCCACAAGTTTTTGGAAAATGAAGAAAGAAAACAAAAACATATTTTTTCTTTCTTTTTTAATATTTCAAAACCTTATGAGAAAAAAATAAGATATGCAACATACTTACCATGCCTCTTTTTAAATTCCTTGGGGTGTCTATTTTCCAAAAAGGGTCACTTGGGGGGGAGTGGGGGGGGGGGGGGGGGGGGTGCTATCCTGGCATTTCAGGGCTTCCGAAACTGTGACAGGTAGTGAGAAAGTGAAATGAGGAAGTTAAGCACCTTCAGGCTTTCAAACTGGTCATTGGATTTCAGGCTCCTGTACTTGGCTAGGCTCCAAAAAGTCTCACACGTGTGGTATTCCCATACTCAGTAGAAGTAGCAGAATGTATTTTGGGGTGTAATTCCACAAATACCCATGGCTTGTGTGAGAAATATATAATTTAAATGATAACTTTGTGTAAAAAAAAAATATTTTTTTGGCAATTTCCAAAAACTTGGGGAAAAAAAAAATAAATCTTCCATGGACTCAATATGCCTCTCAGCAGATAGCTTAGGGCAGTGATGGCGAACCTTTTTGAGCCCGAGTGACCAAAACTGCAACACAAAACCAACTTTTTTATTTCAAAGTGCCAACACTGCAATTAACCACTTGCCTACCGGGCACTTCTACCCCCTTCCTGCCCAGACCAATTTTCAGCTTTCAGTGCTGTTGCACTTGACAATGACAATTGTGCGGTCATGCAATACTCATTTTTTCACACAAATATAGCTTTTTTTGGTGGTATTTAATCACCACTGGGTGTTTTATTTTTTGCATTATAAATGAAAAAAGAGCAAAAAATTAAAAACATAAAAGGTTTTCTTTGCTTCTATTATAAAATTTTGCAAAAAGGTAATATTTCTTCTTTGATGTGCGTTGGTGAGGCTGCACTAATAGGCAGCACTGATGGGCATTGATGAGGCGGCACAAATAGGTAGCACTGATGAGGCGGCACTGGTGGGCATTGATGAGGAGGCACTGGTGATGCACTGATATGCAGCAATGATGGGCACTGATAAGCGGCACTGACTGATAGCACCAACTGGAGGCACTGACAGATGGCACTGATCGGCGGCACTGATGGGCATCATTGATGGGTGGCACTGATGGGCAGCACTGATGTGCGACACTGCTGGGCACTGACAGGTGGCACTGCTGGGCAGCACTGACAGGTGGCACTGCTGGGCAGCACTGACAGGCGACACTGCTGGGCACTGATGGGTGACACTTCTGGGCACTGATGGATGACACTGCAAGCAGTTAATCTCACCTCTGGCAGTGTTGGTATGGCTTCCAAACCCAGCAGCTCATTCCCATCCACGCTGAACACATCGCCCCTGGCCCCGGAGCAGTGTGGGAGCCTCTTCCTCTCTTCCACGCCCATCCCCGGCTACATCACCCCTGGTGCCAGATCCGCATAGGAGCCGTTTCCTCTCGTCCACACCCACCCTGGCCCCAGAGACATGTGGGAGATGTAGTTTGATGGGGGTCCAGTGTGGACGAGATCTGGATGGCCGGTCAGTGTGCGTGGTCCGTGTGCGCTCATCTTCCTCTTCTTCCTGGCGTGCCCACTGAAATGGCTCTGCGTGCCAGCTCTGGCACGCGTGCCATAGGTTCGCCATCACTGGCTTAGGGTGTCTACTTTCCAAAAAGGGGTTATTTGGGGGTGTTTGTACTGTCTTGGTACTTTAGCACCTCAAGAAATGTGATGAGCAGTCAGAAAGTAAAAGCTGTGTGAATTCCATTATCTATACCATAGTTTGTAGACGCTATAACTTTCACACAAAGTAATCACTATAAATGAAAAAAAGAGCAAAAATCACTTACTGGGATTTTTTTAAACCAAAAACATGGATTAGAATACATTTTGGAATAAATTTATGACTAAATTTGAATTTTTTTTGGATATTTCTTATGACAGAAATTAGAAAATGTTTTTTTTTTTTAAAAAAAAAATTTTCAAAATTTTTTTTGTTTATAGTGCCAAAAATAAAAAAACGCACAGGTGATCAAAGACCACTGAAAGAAAGCTCTATTTGTGTAAAAAAAAAGGACATACATTTAATTTATGTACCATATTGCATGACTGCGCAATTGTCAGTTAAACTAGTGCAGCGCTGTATAGAAAAGAAATGGCGTAAATTCCATTATCTATTCTATACCATAGTTTGTAGACACTATAACTTTCACACAAAGCAATCAATATACACTTATTGGGATTTTTTTTTTTTTGTACCAAAAACATGTAGTAGAATACATTTTGGTCTAAATTTATGACTAACTTTGAGTTCACTATATATTTTTATAGCCGAAAGTAAAAAATATGTTTTTTTCTTCAAAAGTTTCAGTATTTTTTTTTGTTTATAGCGCAGAAAATAAAAAGCGCACAGGTGATCAAAAAGCACCAAAAGAAAGCTCTATTTGTGTGAAAAAAAGGATGTAAATTTCGTTTGGGTACAGCATTGCATGACCGCGCATTTGTCAGTTGAATTAGTGCAGCGCCAAATTGCAAAAAGAGGCCTGGTCATTAAGGGGGTAAATCCTCAGGAGGGAAAGTGGTTAATAATTGTTTATTAATAAATGAAATTGTAGAATGAATGAATATATCTAAATGATCTTGAATCTATACTGTAACTGGTCGGGCATACATGGAAAGATGATCGCTCAGTGATGAGCACCAGAGCTGAATCTCCGTACTCACAGCACACTGCATCACTGACAGCAGTGGGCGTAGACATCAGAGGGCCTTGTCCCGCCTTCATCTTGTGATTGGCAGGCTGGTCGTTACTCCGCCCCTCCCTGGTTTGTCCTGCCCCGCTCTTCGTAGTCTGGGTGCTGCAAGATGGCGGCGTCCATGCTGAGCCGGGTGTGTATGACCCTTCGGCCCCCGGGGCTGTGCGGTGTGGCCCCGGGGTGGGTGAGGTACTACGCCAATGACTCGTTCGTGTCAGGAAACGGTACGTATGGACTGCAACTCCCAGCATGCCTGCTTTCTTTCTCCAGCAGAGGGGTACAATTTCTAGTGTGCCTTCTACATGTCTCAAGGGGGTCCTCTGTTGGTGGAACTACAAATACCACCATGACAGTTCCTCTGGCTGGGGTGAGACTAGATAGAATACCATAAGGGGGCGCCACAACCCACAGGGTGAGCTCAGCATATTAGGTGGACCTGTCTTGGATGTGTAAGATGTCAGTGTGGGACTTCCAGGTATTTATGACCTCCCCCAGAGATCACAGTGCTCCCCCGGAGACACAGTGCTCCCCCACAATGCCTTCATCTGTTCTTCTCTCCAGAAGAATGGCATTATCTTTGTTCAGCATCATCCAGGGTCACCATCTACTTCCTGGACTGAGATGTCATCATCATGTAAACCCTGGTGTCTGCGCAGTTCTTGAGTTCACAAATGTCTGACACAGATCAGCCCCTGACCTTGTGACATATTACAATGTATGGTTTGATCTGTGGGGAGAGGAGACTGAGGAAGTTCTGCCTCCCATAGCAGACTGATGACTTCATCTCAACCTAGACAAAGTCACTACCTGGAGCTCAAAAATCACTTTTTTAAAAGCAATATTAACAACATGCCGTCCAGCCACTGTAGAAATATGTTGGCAGGGCAAAACCACGTAGGGGGCGCGCCACCACCCTACCTGTCCCGCCGATCACGGCCGCGGATGTCAGTCGCCGGGTCACAGCCGGTCGTTACTGGGTCACAGACGGTCGTTACCGGCTGTGTCCCCGGCGATTAGCGGCAATCACTGGCAGAGAGCACAGCTGCAGTAGCTCTGCTCTCTGTCAGTTCCCTGACAGGCTGATCGGGAGAGAAGAGTTTATCTCTCCTGATCAGCGTGTCCCGTGCAGTACACACCCCCTCCCCCTAGTAAAACACTCAACTCACACAGTTAACCCTTTCACTGAATAATAAAGTTAACCCCTTCCTCCCCAGTGCCATTAGTACAGTGTCAGTGTTTTTTTTTTTTTTTTTTTGCACTGATCACTGTATTGGTGTCACTGCGGATGTCAGTGACCCCAAGTCAGTTCCCCCCCAGTGTCAGAATGTCCTCTGCAGTCCTGCAGTCCCGCCATAAGTCGCTGATCGCCGCCATAAGTCGCTGATTGACACCATAAGTCGCTGATCGCCGCCATTATTAGTGTAAAAAAAAATTAAAAATCCCAGTATCTTTCCATTTGTAAACGCTATAACTTTCATGTGAACCAATTAATTTACACGTATTGGATTTTTTGTAGCAAAGACATGTCGCAGAATGCATTTTGGCAGAAATTTATGACTAAATTTGATTTTAAAATTTTTTTTTACTGGACATGTTTTATAGCAAAAAGTCGAAAATATTGTTTTGGTTTTTTTTTTATAGCGCAAAAAATTAAAAAAAGCACAGGCAATCAAATACCACCGAAAGAAAGCTCAATTTGTGGGGAAAAAAAAAGGATGTCAATTTCATTTATGTACCGTATTGCATGACCGCGCAATTGTCCGTTAAACTAGCGCAGCGCTGTATAGCAAAAAAATGGCGTAAATTGCAGTATCTATACCATAGTGTGTAGACGCTATAACTTTCACACAAAGCAATCAATATACACTTATTGGGATTTTTTTTTTACCAAAAACATGTAGCAGAATAAATTTTGGCCTAAATTTATAACTAACTTTGAGTTTACTATATATTTTTTATAGCTGAAAGTAAAAAATATCGTTTTTCTTAAAAATATTTGGTCTTTTTATGTTTATAGCGTGAAAAATAAAAAGCGCACAGGTGATCAAATACCACCGAAAGAAAGCTCTATTTGTGTGAAAAAAGAACGGAAATTTCGTTTGGGTGCAGCATTGCATGACCGCGCAATTATCAGTTGAATTAGTGCAGCGCCAAGTAGCAAAAAGAGGCCTTGTCATTAAGGGGGGTAAATCCTCTGGAGGGCAAGTGGTTAAACCCCAAAAATGTTTTATATTGCAGCTTACCAATTCTTAGATGTGATGGCTGCATTGCGTGTTTTGTTTTCTTGTTTTTTTTCTTTTAACATTTTTTTTTCTCCTATTTTTACCTGTTGATCTAGCCAGTCGATCTGCTATTTTTCCACAGAACATGCTCTCCTGTAGATGCAGCAGTTAAGAGGGAAGAGACAAAGCATTTACCACAAGCAGGAATGTTTACAATGATCTGCTTTAACCACTTTCCCTCCTGAGGATCCCCCCCCCCCTTCCTGACCAGGCCATTTTTTGTATTACAGTGCTGCGTTACTTTAACTGACAACGCTGCACCCAAATCATCCTTTTTCCCCAGGAGCAGAGCTTTCTTTTGGTGGTATTTGATCACCTGTTTTTTTTCATATTTTGTGCTATAAAAGAGACCAACAACTTTGAGGAAAAAATATATTTTGACTTTTTGCTATTAAACATATCCAGTAAAAAATCAAATTTCGTCATAAATATAGGCCAAAATGTATTCTGCGACATGTCTGCCGAAAAATTCCAATACGTGTAAATTAATTGGTTTACGTAAAAGTTGTAGCATCTACAAATGGCGAGATATATACTGGAATTTTTTTTTTCTTTTAATTTTCGCTAGTATGGCGGCGATCAGCGACTTATTGCGGGACTGCAGTGGACATCCTGACACTGGGGGGAAATGACTTGGTGTCACTGACATCCCCAGTGACACCAATACAGTGATCAGTGCTAAAAAAAAAAAAGCACTGACACTGTACTAATGGCACTGGGCAGGAAGGGGTTAACATGGGGGGAGGGCGATCAAAGGGTTAGCTGTGTGCTGGGAGTGTTTTACTTGGGGGTGGTGTCTGTGTACTTCCCTGTAAGTACACTTCTTTGGATGGCTGTGCACATCCATCCAAAACAGTGTGCCTGAGCTGACAGGGAGGAGGACTGTTAGTAAACAAAGCAGTCCTCCTCCCCTTCAGAGATCCTCAGTAATCACCGGGCTTCGGAGAGTAATCACTGGCCGGGGCCTGGTGATTGACAGCGGCCCCCTACCCGAAAATGCAAAATCATGTGTATATGCGTGATTTTGCGCGCCCCGTGCCACCCTGTAGCTGTATTTTTCCGCTATAGGGCGATCAGGAAGTGGTTAATTTTCGGAAAACCTTTATCTCAAAAGGTGTAACTGCTTGTAATGTATTAGTTTGTCTTCAATTTGTTAGTGTGTCTAAATCTGCTAGTACGGTACATCTAACACTCTCCTCCCCCCAGACTGACAGTGCTGCTGTCCAAATGGACCCCCCCGTTCTCCTTCATCCATTGTGGTCTCTGTATAATACAGGAGGTGTGTTACCGACCAAATCACCAGGTGAAAACAGAGGGCAGAAAAAGAAAACTAACGCAGCTCTAATGACTGGAAATCTACAATAGATATTACATTTTTGGTTTGGAGCCTAATACCGCATTAATGATGAAAGGTGGAGCTTTTGTAGTACATACAGCAGCAGCATATTTATTATGACGTGAGGAATTTATTTAGTAAAGGTCATCTGTTAAAGATTACAAATGTCATTTGTGTATGACATGCACACAGCACATACTAAAAGGTTTAGGGAAACAAAATGTGTGACCCACACTAACCATTCATATCCAAGCTAAACCGGTATGTAGCATTGCATTTTTTAATCCTGTATATTTTTGTGTTCATTTCCAGCCCACAGAGAACCGCGTTTGAAACCCAAAATGGACAGAAGCAAAGTGGTAAGATGTCTTGAAGGTAGAACTATGGACAACAATAGCATGTGATCAGGGGTGTGGAAATTTATTAAAATTATGAAAATGAGAAAAAATAAACTTTATTCCTTCTGGTTACCCTCGCACTTGGGTGCAGCCAAATCAAGCTCCGGTATCCACTCCGTGAGGCTCCATTCACACCTGGCCATTTTGGCATCATAGCAGAATCGCTGCAATTCTGCCCTTGATCTCAAAACGCACTACAATTGCAAAACGAAGGGCCAGGCACCATTATTTTCAATTTCACTTAAAACGCGGTCCAGTTTTCCCACGATTGTACCGCAGTTGCACATGGCAAATCATGTCACGTGAACTTAATGAAGCTTGTCGCCATAAAGAAGCTCCTGCTCCTTTTTGGGGCGACAAGGTTCACATGATATGATTTGCCATGATAAATCACGCAACAATTGTCGCAAAACCGCACTACGTTTTAGATGTCATTGACAATATTGGCACCTGATCCTGCCTTTTGCAATTGTAGTGCGTTTTTGAGATCACGGGCAGAATTGCAGCAAATTGCGATCCCAAAACGCCCAGGTATGAATGGATCCTTAGTCCCAGTTCACACTGATGTGAATCAGATGCAATCCGAAATGCATAGATTCGCATGGCATCTGAAAATACGTTGTTTTCTATGAAGGACTTTCACATCTATGCAGTGCGATTTTTGATTTGATTACAAAAAAAAAATGGTCCTGTGCGAGTGTAGAGCAATGTGTTCCAAACTCGCACAGAGTATAGTGGCATTGTGAGATAACTGTTCACATAGGATGCGATTCGTAACCGTTTTTTTTTTTTTTTTTTTTTTTATTTACACTGATCACTGTATTAGTGTCACTGGGGATGTCAGTGACAGTTAGTCAGTTCACCCTCAGTGTCAGAATGCCTGCCGCAGTCCCGCTATAAGTCGCTGATCGCTGCCATTACTAGTATAAAAAAAAAAAATAAATCCAGTATATACACCGCCATTTGTAGACGCCAATTAAGTTACATGATCGGGATTTTTTTTTTTTATTTTTAGCAAATACATGTACCAGAATAGATTTTGGCCTAAATTTATGACGAAATTTGATTTTTTTTTTTAATTTTTTACTAGATATGTTTTTTTCAAAAGTGTTAGTTTTTTTTTTTGTTTATAGCCCAAAAATAAAAAATGCACAGGCGATTAAATACCACCAAAATAAAGCTCAATTTGTGGGGGGAAAAAAAGGACCTAAATTTAATATGGGTGCAGCGTTGCATGACTGTGCAATTGTCAGTTAAAGTAACACAGCGCCTTATCGCAAGAAAAATGGCCTGGTCAGGAACGGGGGTAAATCCTCCGGAGGGCAAGTGGTTAAGTCTAATTTCCTTGAAAACTTTTCTTTCTTTGTTTTGGAAAGAGGAACCTCCCTCCTGGGTTTTTCTTTATTCTTTTCAGTGTGTCCCTACTGGGGTGATGATTCTCACATGTCGGGGGGACAGGAAGTGTTGGGAAGTCTCTCCATTTGAGAGACTCTCCAACAGAAAGTGCAGTAAAGGCACATTTTTTCAGTACCGTGGGGAAAAGCTAAAGCCTTGGATAGAGGTTTATTGACTTTTTTTTTTTTTTTTTTTGTTCCCATGACCCATATCCCCTCTCATTTCTGTACTGGTGTCACTGAAGAACAATAAAAACTTGACTGAGGTTCTAACTTCTTGGTCCCAGCAAGTGACCTGCCAGCATTCAGTCTATAAACTGTTCTGGAGCAGAGCAGGATACACAGACTGATGGTGGGCTTTAGTGCTGGAACCACTGTCTGTCAGTAAAAGCCACAGTCCAGCACTGAGATCAGGAACTAAATTGATCAGCTCCTGGGTTTCTGATCCTGTTATTGAGTGCTCTATAGAGTGCAGACAGTGGGCAATGTAAACATAGTGCTGAACAATGCTTTTGCACTGTTCTTATGTTGGAAGTGAAATCACATAATGGCACTTCCTGTTAGAGTCCTTGTCATGTGTGTGTCTGATCCTTTTCAATGTAAATGCTGGCATCTTCTCAATCGGGAAAGCCCAGGTGCAGCATATGGTCTCCCATAGACATAAATGACTGGGTGCTGCTGTACTTGGGCATATGGCAATGCTGTTATAGACCCAAATATAGCTTTTGGGCTTATACCTTTTACATTGAACGGGCACAGCTCTCCATCTACGAGGATGCATGGGCAGAGCTGGAACAGGTCCAGGTTCTCACTGCAACAGTAGGTCACTGCTATAGTGGTTTACCTCCATCACATGCATTTCTGTAATGCATTTGACTCCTGGAACCTTCAACTGTATAAAGCTTCCTGCGTTAGAACATTCAGTCAGACACAGTGACGCTCACGATTCAGTGGAGTGGATTGTTTTTGCCTCACGTCATGCTTTATTTGCTGTCTGTGCCCTCTATGGACCGATTTATTCTCACTTCTGTCACTTTTACATGAGGAGACTAAGGAAGCAGCAGAAGTGATTTTGGTTCCTTTTAGTTCTGATCCACTTTTCCTCCTTTTTAAGGAAGTCAAAAAATGTAATTGTTCAGCAGCTTCTGCAATATGTTGGTGCTATACAATCTCTGTAGAAAACTGATCCTGGTTCATTTTAATGCTTTGCTTCAGGTTCTTTCTTCACGTACGGAAAGAATGCTTCCGGATCAAGACTGGACCAACGTGTATCCGGCAGCAGCGTCTTTCAAGCCATCAGCTGTTCCCCTTCCTGTGCGAATGGGCTATCCCGTGAAGATGGGGGCACCCCCAGACAAGTATGGTAATCTGGAGCTTATGAAGGTAAAAATGAATTACTGTGCATGTGTCAAGCTGCAACAAGAAAAATCACTTTAGGCTGCATTCACACTTGTGCGACTTGTCATGCAACTTTGGTCATCAAGTCGCAGCCCATTCTTTTCAGTAGCATCTGTTCAAATCAATGTGACTTTGAAAAGGTGCCTGCCAGGGGCGGACTGACAACTCATGGGGCCCCTGTGTCCTTGCCCAAACTCAAAAAAGCCTATGAAAAAGGTACCAGGGGCATCTCATGGGGCCCCCTACTGACCCCGGGCCCTCGGGCAGTGCCCGAGTTTCCAATTGGTCAGTCTGCCCCTGGTGTCTGCACTACTTTGATGCAGCTTTGATCTACAGAGTGTAAAGTCGGATCAAAGTCGCACTAGAAATCATGCTAGTTTGGAGTCGCACAAGTGTGAATGGAGTCTTACTGCTGTAGCATTAGTGTTTAATTGCATTATATGTTCACTGACGTTATGTGATATGAATCCAGACAGTTCCAGCTGAGCATCTGGTCAATAAGACTCAGAGGCATTAAAGCAATGCAGATGTGCAATGTATCAAGTAGATGCTAACTTTTCTTTTCGAAGATTAATTTGACCATAAGGGTAGGTTCAGAATATTGTAACTTGTGTTTTTGTTTGTAGGCAGCCCATTCATTCAGTGGGCTGCCCTATCAGTGGAAATGTAGGGAACAAAGTCCCCAGCGTTTTTTTCCTTTTTTTTTTTTTTTTTCTTTTTAAACCACACAAGACCAAACCGCATGGCGCTATGGCACCGTGCGGTTTGGTGTATTGCAGAATGCACCAAATTTGCCGATGTGATGCTTATCTGCTAAAGAGTAGCGTGTTTGCCTATGGGTCAGGAATGTGCACAATTTTCTGCGCGTTCCTGACCCGCAGTAATGTGAACCTAGCCAATACCTGGCTGCTTCCTTTTTGGACTATCTGATAGTGTTTATAAACATTGTTCAGACATGAGACAGATACAAGTTGCATTATTAGTTTTGTATCTACTCTGTTTCAATAATCTGCAGATCAAAGGTATATCTGCATAAAAAGTAATTTAAAGCAATTTGAAAAAGTAAAAAAAAAATAAAATGTATACCGCTTTAATTCCCTTATTAACACTTAGTTTACACTAAGCAACTCTAATTAACTCCTTCTCCTCCTTCCTTTTTAAGCTCTTTTTTTTTTTTTTTTTCCTTTTTTTTTTTTTTTCCTTTTGATTTATATGTTGTGCTTATTTAATTATGGTTTAAAAAAAAAAAAAGTGCCCCTGGTTTGGTTTTAATGTCTCCCTCTCAGCAGCACAAACACTTGCCTTCAGTCTGCTTCCCCTCCATCTTGATCATTCACCTAAGCAAATAAGAAACCCAGTAGCTGTGAATATTGAGGAGCTTGTGACTCACATGTGATGGTGATGAGGGGACATTAAAGCAAACTTATTGCCTTATCTGGCATGCTCTTTCTTCTTGGGCGGCACAGTTGGCAATAGCTGGCGTTGCGCTTCTGAACTTGATGAACTTTTTGGGTCCTGCCCTTTTATTTATTTTTTTCAAGTTATATTTGTGAAGACATGCTGTTCCTTTGTTCCTTTATCTAGGTTCCTAACTTCTTGCACATAACCCCTCTGGCTATTAGGAAGCACTGTGCAGCTCTGAAAGGTAAGTGCTCTGCTTTCTGGCCAGTAAAATCTTGGGGGGTGGGGACAGTAAAAACAGAGGAATACCTGCAGGTCGCTCATATCTGTATTTCATTATGGAGCTCTTCTTCCCTTTATTCTCACAATTTACATTAATACATGAAAAGAAGATGTCCGGAGTACTATTGGGTAGCTAAAGAGCTGGCAAATACAGCTTGCTGTGAGACTCTCCTTGTCTTATTGAAACCTTTTACTTGTCGAATAAGGGAGGATTTTCTGCTGTGGCGACTTACTGAGTTTTATAAACAGGGTTTCTTTCAACACCACTGAAAAGGATACTATGGGACTAGAATGCCATCTGTTGGCTGGGTAGAAGACGGCATAAAATCCTAATCGGTGAAGTCATCTTCCATCCCTGCTAAATTCCCTTAATTCCTTGAATTGCTTACATTAGACTTCTGCTTAGCAAAGAGCAGATAAGGGGTGGATTTAATAAAACTGGAGAGTGCAAAATTTGGTGCAGCTGTGCATGGTAGACAGTTGGCTTCTAAATTCAGCTTGCTCAATTAAAAGAAACAAACAAACTGGAAGCTGATTGGTTTTTATGCAGAGCTACTCCAGATTTTGCACTCTCCAGTTTTAGTAAATCCCATATTCTGCCACAGTGAAGGAGTGGAACTGAGGTCTTAGGGTGGGAAAAAATTGAGTTCAATAAAACATCTACATCAATCCAGCACAATTGTTATGCAAGTAAAGACACACAGTCATCATCAGTACCATGGTAATAGGAAAAAGACATTCCAATAATGAGAGTTTAGGACACATAACCTCACAATAATAAGTTCAGTGGCCGGGGTATCCATCCACAAGCCCCAGATCTTTTAAAATTTCCCTGGACATCCCCTGTGTCGGCATACAGTATGTAGCGTTCCAGTTGCAGCATACTACTTATAGATTTAAAACAAAAATCAAGCAGGTAGCACAGGTTGCGCATAGGGGGAGAACACCATCTTGCAGGCCATGGGGGAAGTAAGTACAGGCATCACAAGTCCCAGCTGGTAAACTATAGTATGACAACACTAGAAGGCAGCTCCTTGAAGTAATCTCTGCATTAACATACAAACACAAATCAAAAGGGTGCCACTGTGTGTGCAGAAAAAAAACCTTGGCTTTGTGTTTGTAACTATAGATTTAACCTATTTGGCATGTATGGGGGATCCTAAGAATTCCAAGGAATAAGAATCAGTCTATGGGCCTGAAATTGAGCCCTAGTAATGGCTTCCCTGATAAAGTTATCAACCTGTAAATTACCTAGGATACCCAACACACAGCATTTAGGATTGACAGACAGAGTGGTTTGAAACATCCCATTAAGGGTAGTCACTATGCCTTTCCAGTACGTATGCAATTTGGGGCAGCGCCATAGTAGATGGATTAGATCCCCATGATCGCGTCTGCATTTAATACAAGTAGGATCTGATAAAGCCCCCATCTTCAAGAGTTTCTCTGGGGTGTAATGGGCTCTGATTAATTTAAATTTTCAGGAGCCTTTGGGCTGTATTTAAAGAGCAAGTATGTGTAAGCTCCAGAGCTTCCTCCCTCTGTTTAGTCTCAAAGGCACCTACATCAGGGTTGCACTGATTTCAATGGATAGTCAGACAGGAAGGCACTTTGTAATATTGCATAGCTCCTAGTAATAAAACCCTTCACAAGTGCAGTAGTTTGCATTAAATTAATTGACTGTCGCCACACTGTACCATCACCCTGGGCCCGCACTACTTGGTGCGGTTAAAGATAGTAAAAGTGCATCCTGCAGGGTAGGAAAAAAGAAGTTTACAATTCCTGAAAGGGATGTAAAGTCCCGAGCAATCCTTTTTTTCTTGGTTCCTGGAGACCTTGAACTAGCTGCTATGTAACATGACCCCTTATTGACTTCACCCACCCTCTACACAGTTGTGGATGCATTAACCCTTTGAAGGCTATGCAAACCACAACAATGAATGTCTCTTATTTGCTCCTTTTTTTTCTGTCCATTAAACATGCTGTTTCATTACATCTGATCATAAGTTAAAAAAATACCTGATGATCCTGTCAGTTGATAACTTCCTATGCTCTGTCTGTGCTGAATTCAATACAGTAACCTTGTTTCCAGCTCTCTGTGAGAACTACAGAACACCTCCCCTCTGGTAAAGAGAAAAGAGGGGCTGTTACTGCAGTCTCATCCTGGAGTGACAACACTGCTCATCCATGGATATAGTCAGGGGCGTATTTACCAGAAGGCATTTGCCTAGGGCGGCATTTTTCAGGGGGGACAGCACCGCCCCCTGGAAGAAGAGACAGAAGAAGGGGCACACACAGCATGGGGACCAGGTGGGAACCGAGAGAGATTGCAGACTGCTTGATGGTATATGTAGAGCCCGACTCTCATTCCCGGGGATGTCCGGAGCTGTGAAAGTGAGTGTCTTCTCTCTCTTCCCGGGGGTTGGGCATCTGGTGTATGAGGGGCGATGGTAGTGGAAGGCTCTCTTGGGTGGGGGGACAGGGGTGTTATTGATCAATGTCAGTCCTCTCTCCATGGGGGTTTGGGGGTGTTGGTCGGTGCCAAGCTCTCTCTGCGGGGGAGGGGGGGGGGATGGCCAATTTTTGTGTTGTCTAGGGCAGCACAAAACCTAAATACATCAATGGATATAGTATGTGACTTTTGTCACCCTGGAGGAGGAATTGTGGTTCTGGCAGGACCGCCAGGTGGAAAAAAAAGAAAAATAAATGCAATCTAAGGACTGGCAAGCTGCAATATATTACAGATTTGTTACTGGGTTTAGATGTATTTTAAACTAGCGATTTTAATTCTTAAGGCTTGTAGATGGTTCAGGTTTTTGATGTAGGAACATGCTTTATTATTTACATTTTTTATTAAAAAAAAAAAAAAAAAAAAATTGTTAATAAGCATATTATTTTATAATGAGAAATAAGAAGGTCCTTTTGATTGAAGCCTAGCAGATTGGCTTCTGACGATGCAGTTGTTTTCTGGGTACAGGCAGACATGATGTGTTTTCTATATTTTATAGAGTTCTGCAATGAGTGGCCCGCTGTGCTCTCCGATGATGACCAGTGCAACCAGCATTTCCCAATAGAGCTGTCGTCTGTAGATTATGTCTTCGCTGGGCCGTCAATTCACAACCCAAAAGCCAGGGTAGTGACTCTGCAGGTGAGCTAAACAGCCTGTTCGTAGCATATAGGTTATTCAAAACTGAGAAATGTATCAAAAACACAGCAAGCCAATATAATCATGTTTAATTTCTTGAGAGATTTTTAGAGGGCCAGTCCACTCCACTCCAAAGTGGTATTTCCAATACAAAAGAAAATAGTGGGCTAATTCAACCACAGGCATCTTAAACCTGTTGAAGACTCTGCCAGTTAGATCTCCCTGCCATTGTTCCCAACTGTGTTCCAGCCCACCTGGGAGTTTTGAGGTTCCTGCACAGTGGGTATGCAGACCCGGGAACTCTGTGCAGGGAAGGTGGGAGCCCTTCATAATGAACACAGCAGGTGGGAACTCATCAATTGGAACCCTGAGAGATATAATAGACTGCAGATGGTTTCATTCCTCAGCATCTGCCAAAAGCTTTGTTGACAGTTTTGGGCAGAGTGCCCTATTCTAATGGAGAACATGTCTGATCTGTAGTATTCCCTTGCATAATGCACCTTATCACAAATCTTGGGTTGAAGAATTCCTCAGTGTCTAAGTTATACAGTTACATGATGGTGCTAAATGTTCTGATGCTCTGACTACGAGTCAAGCCTTGTAAATGTTCTGATTGGCCACAGGATGGTCCGGCTTGAATGTTCTGTTTTGGCCTTGTCAAATAAGTTTTCAGATAACCACCCAAAGAACAAGTTATTGAGCATTCTTTAAAGTGGAACTTTAGCCATAAAATCACACTGTGTGGACAATTATTAGGCAAGTGAGTATTTGTTGACCAAATCATCATTTTTATGCATATTGTCCAACTCCAAGCTGTATAAACGTGAATGCTTCTTGGATTTAAGCATATCAGGTGATGTGTATTTGTGTAGTGGAGGGTGTGGCCTAAGGAGATCAACACCCTATATCAACGTGTGCATTATTATTAGGCAGTTTTTTTCCCTCTTGCAAAATGGGCCAAAAAAGAGATTTAATTGACTCTCTGACTCTGAAAAGTCAAAAATTGTATTGGGGCGTGATCACAGAACCATCAAACGTTTCGCTTCAAATAGTCAACAGGGTCGCAAGAAACGTGTTGAGAAAAAAAGATGCAAATTGCCAAAGATTTGAAAAAAGTCAAACGTGAAGATACCAGGATCCCATTGTCTTCCAATGCTCTCATGTTGCAGTACTGCAACCTACCTGGAGTGCCCAGAAGTACAAGGTGTTAAGTGCTTAGAGAAAAGGTAAGGAGGGCTGAAACCCAATCGCCACTGAACAAGACACATAAGCTGAAACATCAAGACTGGGCCAAGAAATATCTGAAGACAGATTTTTCAAAGGTTTTATGGACTGCTAGGATGAGAGTGACTTTTGATGGACCAGATGGATGAGCCCATGGCTGGATCAGTCTGTGGCACAGAACTCCACTTCAACTCAGACGCCAGCAAGGAGGGTACTGGGATGGCCTGGTATTATTACAGATGAGCTTAGTTGGACCTTTTCAGGTTGAAGATGGACTCAAAATCAAATCCCAAACCTACTGCCAGTTTTTAGAAGACAATTTCTTCAAGCAGTGGTACACGAAAAAGTCTGCATCTTTCAAGAAGACCGTAATTATGCAGGATGATGCTCTATCGCATGCATCAAAGTACTCCACTGCGTGGCTAGCTAGTAAAGGTCTTAAAGATGAAAGAGTGATGACATGGTCCCATTCCTCACCTGACCTAAACCCTATTGAGAACCTATGAGCCCTTCTTAAACGGGAGATGTATGGTGAAGGGAAACGGTACAGCTCTCTGAAAAGTGTCTGGGAGGCTGTGGTTGCTGCTGCACAAAAAGTTGATTGTCAACAGATCAAGAAACTGACAGACTCCATGAATAAAAGGCTTATGACTGTTTTTGAAAAGAAAGATGGCTATACTGGTCACTGATTTTTACATTTTGAGTTAAATGTGAGAATGGTTTTTCATTTAGTTGCAATATAATTCTGCACACTTAGGGCTCAGGTACACTGCAGCTGCTAAACTGAAGTGTAGGAGCAGTTGTGCATTTTTTTCCAGCAGCTCCTGAACACTCTCCTTTATGTTTTCCTATGTGTCCATGTACACACAGTCGTTTGCAGGAAGTTGGTTACAGGAATTTTTTTTTTCTTTTTGAAAGCACAAAAATCACGTTCAGGAGCAGAATTTACCGGCGTTTCAAACGCCAAACTCTTGTAAACGCATTTGTGATGTGTTTTTGGGCTGGTCCATATCCAGATGCTGTCCAGTGCCTTTTTTCTTTTTCAAAAATGCATGGAAAGCGTTTTCCATGTACACCAGTGTAGTCAGTTCCAGGTTTTGCGTGCAGGAAAAAAATGGTAGAATGTGCTGCATTTTTTTTTTTTTTCTGCACTGAACTGTACTGGAACACATCAAAACACAGTACAAAAGCACAAGGAGTGTTGTGTGCACTCCAGAATGCATCCAGAGGCATTACACCACTATGTAGCTCCTCCCACAGTGCCAAGCATGGTTCACAAGCCACTTTTGCTACCGTTGCAACACCCATCCGAAAGTAGTGCTCTCTCTGCTTCTGCTCCCTCTATTTTTCAGAAAATGTCTGAAATAGTTAATTATTTACTATTTTTTAAGTGCATTCTGGGCATTTGGGAGGGTCTCCTGAGGTTATCTTTTAAAAAACACTTCTATAACCCAAACGCGCATAAACGCAGTAAGTAAACGCGGCTAAACTGATGTTTTTAACCCACGTTTTCTAGCAGTCGGTTTCCAGCGGTCAGAAAAGTATTTCAAACTCCCCGTGTACATGAGCCCTAAGGCCTCATGTACACTGCTGCTCCTAAACATGAGTTTAGGAGCTAATGGCATTTTTTTTTTTTGCCAAAGCCCCTGAACTCCACTGAATAAAAGCCTATGTGTCCATGTGCACATAAGCTTTTAACCGTGTTTAGGGTCAGTTGAACATTTATCTCCTGGACGCAGAAGAATTGCGTTCAAGAGAGAAACGTTTTGGCTAAAAAATGCTAAACGCAGCAAAATTGTGTCTAATCGCTAGCTGCGTTTAACGCTTTGGGCGTTTATCCATATCAGTGGGCAATACTCTTGCCAATTAAATGAATAAACGTCCATGCGCTAAACACGGTACCGCGTACCCACCGCGTTTACACGTGTTTTTTGCTGCAGTTACCTTTTTTTTTTCTGCTGCCACGAGTGCTTAACATCTAGGGGAGTTTGTGTGTACATGAGGCCTAAGGCCCCATGCACACTAGCATTTTTTTTTTTAAGCTCCTAGAAGCTATTTATTAGCATATTTTTTTTTTTCTGCTCCTAGAAGCTAAATGGTGTCCATGCACACTACTTTAGCGTTTTTTTTTTTTTTTTTTTTCCTAGAAGCTAAATGATGTCCATGCACACTACTTTAGCGTTTTTTTTTTGTTTTTTTCTGCTCCTAGATGCTGAAGCTCAAATAATGCTAAATAGCCTAAACACTCTGTAAAGCGCTACTAAAACGCTCCTAATAGTGTTTTTGTTTTTTGTTTTTTTTTCTGAACATGTACTGTAAAAATGCTACTAAAATGCTAATGCTTCTGTACGCTACTAAAACGATACTAAAAAACGCTATTACAAGCATTTTTTTATCTAGTGGTTTTCCCAGCATTGTTTTTAGAACTAGTGAGTATGGAGCACAGGGATCCTGGTGGTGGCTCATTTTATAAAACACCGGTTAACATTCTGTTTCTCTTTTGCTTCCCCTCTGAACATTTCCCTTAATGCATGTTTTCAGACGTTTATTGAAATTGTGTTGTATAACACTGTGCGGTCCCCCCCCCCCCCCCCCCCAAGTTGTGTTTACCAATATACCTCAGGTGCCAACATTTGCATCTAATATCTAAAGTGTCATTGGCTTTAAAATTAATTGATGATGCTGTGTGCTGAACATTTTTCATTACTATATCCATCTTCAGCATTCACCACTCGGTAGTGCGCATATTCAGAGTTTTTCCCTTGCAGGAAGCGATGTACTTTTTTTTTTTTTTCCTATGAATCCTCCACATGGGACACTCATAGCCTTGCCCAAGTGATATGAAAGAACACATTCCTGACATCCCTTTAGACGTGCATGTTTCTCCCTGCTGGCCGGTGGGTTTTGCAGATATTCGTTGTTCAATCTGTTCTGAAAGCAGGACTAATGGTGTGCAATCAAGCAACTGATCAGCAGATTAGACACTTAGAGCCTATGTCACCCATGGGCCAGCAGAGCTTTGTCACACATTGATACTTGTCTCCACCCCACTATTGGACAGTAATTAACAGAAGCACATGGACTTCATCACATAACTGAAAAATAAGGGGTTTTATGAAGTTATGTAATTTATGACCAGTCAGGTAATTTAATGCTTATATAAAATAAGTAGTTCTAATGGATTTACATTCACTGTTTTTGGTTAGAATTGCTACTTTTTTTTTTTTTTCTTTATAGATAAAACTGTCCAGTTTGAATCTGGATAAACACGCCAGGCAGAAGCTGATTAAACTTGTAGGGTCTCGGTACAATGCAGAGAGCGATACTTTGACAATCCAGACAGACAGGTGACTGAATGTGTTCTTATTTATGCCTCATTCTCTGACCCAAGTGCTGGACATTGTGCCATCCAGAGGGCAACAGTATGGTTGTAACCATTTCTTCTTTTTATTATTCAGGTGTCCATTAAAAAGGCAGAACGAGGATTACGCCATGTACTTGTTGACAGTACTCTACCATGAGTCCTGCGTAAGTGTTTCATTTAAAGGTTAAATCCTTGAAAAATTAAGATTCCCATATTTGATTGGGACTTCTCTTGGTAGAAAAATGGAGGGGCTCCCATCTTACTTGGAAAGCTGTATCTACACCGTGATGTCTCCTATCATTATTCCACCTGACCTCTTTAGCACTAGGATTCCCAAAGAAAATATGCCATTTCATGGTTCTGCTGAAATACCACAGTTCACTGGCAGGGGATGCTGTAGTTTTGGTCAGCATTGCTAAATCCAAAAAATAAGATTTACCGAGAGGTAGATTGGTTGGTTGGTTTGTTTGCTTTTTTTTTTTTTTTATCAGCAGCAAGAGATATATGCCAACTCTGATCTGCCAAAAAACAAATGTGTTTAATTTTGTGTACTTTGTCTACTGTGCAGTGTACACCCTCAGCTCATTCCCGGCATCTGTAAGGTTTTTGGTACAATGTTAACTTAAGCACATACAATGGTTAGGCAAAAAAATGGAAACACTACATGATTTGCAGGTGTGAAAGTGATGACAAGTTTCTCCTTGAAAGCGTAAATGATGTAACATTCTTTTGCTTCTGCTGTGTGATGAGACACCTAGCTAACAGGTGGGAAGCCTCACTTTTGTCATTCACTGCATGCGCTGCTAGTGATACAGTCATGTCTGAACTTCCTGAGCTTCAAAGAGGGCAAATTGTTGGTGCCTGCTTAGCTGGTGTCTCTGTGACTGAAGTTGCCAATTTATTTGCTGTATCGCAATAGTAAAGTATCAAAGGTTATGGCGGCATATTCTGAGAAAATGACGTTTGATAATCATAAGCGTGGTCAACTGACTTGAAAGAGACAAGAAGACATTGCTCAGGATTGTGACCTGGAATAAGAAATCAACTGCTGCAAAAGTGACTGCAGAGCTCAATCTAAGTCTTCACAGGACTGAGATTGAGCTCTGAAATCCTACTCAAATAAATTGGATACTTCAGTCACAGGTACACCAGCTAAACGGGGAACCAACAATTTGCCCTCTTTGAAGTTCAGTAAGCTCTGACAATGACTCTGTCCTATTAGTGCACGCAATGAATGCCGAAAGTGAGATTTCCCACCTGTTAGCTAGGTGTCTCATCACACAGCGGAAGTAAAAGAATGTTACATTACTTCTACTTTCAATGCGAAACGTGTCATCACTTTCACACCTGCAAACCATGTAGTGTTTTCATTTTTCTGTCTAACCCCGGTAAATACCTGGGAGTTTCATCATCTGCCCAATGGCAGAGCCAAGAACTCCACATCACTGCTGGAGGGCTCACGAGATCAGTGTGTCATAATGTGCAGGTATGCTCAGTATAGAGCAAGAGTTTCCCTCACACTGGAAGGAGTAAAGTTCTACTTTAAAATCTGTTTTCTACTCTTCCCTTCAGTCTTGTGCAGTTGTACAGGCTCCTCTTACTGTTTTCGTGGCACACCGTGAGCTTCTCAAACTGTAGCAAGTCAGTCCATCTCATTTCCTGGCTGGAGGATGTCCAGCATCATCCAGCTCTTTTCCTCCCCAGCCTGACTGTTCCTGGTCTGCCCCTTTTATTCATTAGATTCCAGTTCTTTCAATCATGGAGGCTCAGCATCACATGTGGGCATTACTTAAGAATATTTGCATGCACATGCAGCCTGCCTGGGAATGCACTTTCTTTCACACTGACATCCGTCCATCAAGGTGTTTTAATATTTGCATAACCCCACCCAGGAGCGTGCCCACTGCTTGCATCAGAGCGGAAGGCTCTTGAGCGAAGTATTGAGACGGTGCTATGATGCTTTCACGTGGCTGTGTACAGCACCCTGCTAGCCCCTGCCACTGGCCATTATATGCTTGGATTACATATTGAAGCACAGAGACCTAGTGGTGATGTCACTAGGTTTAACATTCAATATGCAATGTAAACTAAGGTTTTAATTCATTGCACTATTTAATAATTTCAAAATGTTGATGGGGAGGGATGGGGGAAGGAAAAAGGAACTTGAAAATAGAAGAATAAACTTCAGCTGTAACATGTTTTATTCTTGCTTCACAAAACCAGTTCTACTGATATGCCAATGAATGGCTTTTACAGCCTGGAAAGTGAACATCTAGTTGTTGTAGGTCACACAGAATTTTTACCTTTTTTAAAATAAAAACATTTACAATTTGGTGCACATACACTTGTTTATAAGAACGGGCTTTCCTGAAACGGCTCAGGAGAATTTCTGAGTTTGGCACCAGTCTGTGGATTTGGCAGAGCCTTTCCACATTGTTTTTGGTGTTGCTGGGATCCAGAATTCACTGTGTGCCATCTGATTCCAGGCCGTCCCCCGCACACAAGCCCCGGGCTGCTTTCATTACCTTTCAGTGGCTGATGAATTATTGAGCAGCTCCTCACCGGATGAATTGGCTTTGATTGCTCTGCATATTTTATGAGCCTCTTTGACACTTGTGATTTTTCCATGATCCCGGCGAACGTGCTTTGAGTGGCAGGACTTGGGGGGGAATCCCAGGGCGAGCAGCCTCGGCCTTGTGGAACCCCTGTTCTGTTTCAGACATCCAATAAACAGACCACAAACTGGTTGCTACATTTCCAAAATCTGACAAGGATTTGTGACCTACAAAGCTTGATTGCTAACCTGTTGTATGCAAAAAGCAACAATTATTCCAATAGGTTACATGATATATTTGCTTGTACAATGATACGTGATGTTTATCTATGTTTTATCTATGCAAAGCTATCAGTAGTAACGTGATTGTAAGGCCAGTTCACACCACAAAAATGCACTCCGGATGCATTCCGGTAATGTTTTTTGCTTACAGTTCACACCACACTCAGTTCCGGTGCAGTTTGCTATGTTCCAGTACGGTTCTGTACAGAAAAAATGCAGCATGTTCTACTTGTTTTTTCTGCACCGGAAACTGACTGGAACTTGCTGCACTGGTGTGAACTAGAGCCATTGGAATACATGGGAAACACTGTGCGCGCATTTTTGATGCAGAAAAAAAAATGCACTAGACTATCGGTGCAGACTCCGTTTTCACGTGTTTTTTAGTACTTTTTGCAAAAACATGCTACAGTCCATTTAACATGGTTTCCAATGGGACTTTTTTAAAAGCAGAAAGCAGCGTTTTTGCTACAATAGAGTTCAATGGAGAAGCTGCTGAAATGCATAGTAGTGGTTTTTTTTCTTCCATGTTTTGCATTTTTATTCTGCCAAGCAATGAAAAAAAATTCCACTTTACCATTTGCCAACCGCGCTGTAGTCGAATGACGGCTACAGCGCGGTTGTCCAGTTCTAGGAGGGTGTCATATGACGTCTTCCCAGGGCGCGCTCTCCTGCGCTCCCCTGGCCATCTCCATGATCACTGTGTCCTATGGACACAGCTGATCACAAGATGTGGTAACAGGCCAATCACAGCGGCTTTTTACTACGTGATCAGCTGTGTCCAATGACACAGCAGATTGCCTGTAAATGCAGTTGCCGATTATCGGCTGCACTTTCCTCACACTGTCACAGTGTGAGGAAAGTAGTGCCAATAACTGGCAATTGTCAGAGGACGGATCAGCACCGATCATCAGGGCACTGATGATCAGTGCCGCCCAGCAGTGCTGAATATCAGTGCGGCCTCATCAATGCACATCAGTGAAGGAGAAAAAACTACCTGCTTGCAAAATTTTATAATAGAAACAGAAAAACTTTTTTTTTTTGTTTATAGCGCAAAAAAATAAAACACCCAGCAGCGATTTAAATGCCACCAAAATAAAGCTCTATTTATGTGAAAAAAATATAAAAATTTCATATGGGTGCAGTGTTGCATGACCGTTTAACTGTCATTCAAAGTGCGACAGCTGAAAATTGGCCTGGGCAGGAAGGGGTATAAGTGCCTGGTAGGCAAGTGGTTAACAAAAAAAAAGTGCTGACCAAAATGTTGCAAAAAAGGACAAAAAGCAAACTCTATAGGGGTGAAAGGAGCCCCACACTGTAGAAAAGCAGTCCAGATGCGTTTCTGCTGTGTTCCGGTGTGTATTTGACACGTTCCAGTGTGTGTGATGCTTTAATTTTTTCCCCCTCTCTTTTTCTTCAATTTAAATAGGGACATGTGCGTTCCAGTGAGTTTTTGGTGCGTTCCGGTGTGTTTTTTTGTGTGTTTTACAGCGTACCAGTACAGTTCTGTGCAGGAAGAATGCAGGCTTTTTTTGGTTTTTTTTTTTTGGAACTGGAATGCACTGGAACTGCAAGCACTGATGTGAACTATGCCATTGACAACCATATAACCTACTTTCTGTGCATTTTGAATGCAGAAGAAAAAGCACTACGTATGTAGTGTGAACTGGCCCTCAGGGTTTAACTTTTATGTCCAAAAAAATAACAAACATGTTATACTTACCTGCTCTGTGCAATGGTTTTGCACAGAGCAGCCCCGATTCTCCTCTTCTCAAGTCCCCCAATGATGCTCTGAGCCCCTCCCATCCACCAAATGCCCACCATAGCAAGATGTTGCCATAAGACACACAGTGTAGGGCTCAGCCTCACCCCCTGCTCCCTCCCCACTGATTGTGATTGATGGAAGCTGTTCCTGCTACTGTGTCTCATCTCAGCCAATGATTAGGCAGCATGCCGAGAGAGCCTATGCTGTCTTGCTCATCTCTGGATCAAGATTGGGCTCAGTTAAGTATAAGGGTGGTCTGGCGGGGGAAGTTGCATGCAGAAGGTTTTTTTTACATTAATGCAGAGAATGCGTTAAAGTAGTTGTAAAAGCTCAAATTTTTTACTTTTTTTTTTTTTTTAAATGCATGAAAGTAAAAAACCTGTGTGCAGCAGTGCCCCCATCCCCCTCAATACTTACCTGAGCCCCCTACTCTAACACTGTTTGGAATACTTTCCATGCAGATTTTATTATTTAATGGCAGGTTTTTAATTTTACGTTTTTAATATGTTTTATCAAAGTTTGCAAAACAATCAAGTTTTAAATTTTTGTGTAATATTTATGTTTCTGAGAATTTAGTCTCTGTGGTAGAAGTGTACGTATAGCCAAAGACTTGTTTCATTTTGGATGAGAGCGGGAAATAGATGCCTGTCAGTATTTTATTGCGGATTGTGTCCCCACTGGGGAGATTCACCCCCTCTATTTGTTGTGATGAGTGAAACCAAAGTGATGGGAAATCCAAACTTTTAGAGTTGTCTCTGGAATGACCTGTAACTATAGCATAGACTAATCAAAAATTTAAAAAATGAAAATCAGCTATACTGTACATAGAAGTATACATTATTCTATATATTCTCCACCTGTGCAGGTGTTTTATAATGAAAACCAGAACTGGTCCTCTTTCTTTCTGAGTGATAAAGGATTTGTGATTGTATTGTGCACTTAGTGGCTCACAGCACTCCTAATGCACCTCCCTTGCTAGGTAAAAAATTGATGCAGGTTGCATTTGCTGCGCATGAGAAGTTGTCAGCTGCCTTTTGCACTCTGGATTTTTCATGTGCAGCACCATAAGGAGAATTGCAGATATGCATTAAAATGGACCTGTCATCAGATATATTTTTTCCATGATAAGTATTATGTCAGTGTAACCGATCACAGTACTCCCTCCTGATATTGCCTTCATCTGGTTTTCTGTCCTCCCAGGATTATCATCTACTTTTTTGGACTGAGATGGTGGCTTGGTGATGACACAATCATGTAAATTCTACTAATTGCACAGTACTTTTCTATAATTTGAGACGTCTGACTTTTTTTTTTCTTCAGAAAACTGAAGCATGGGAGAGCGAGATACAGGACAGTGACATGGATGAGTACATCTGGGAGGGCAGCACGTCCGAGAAGAACACCCTACAGACTCTTTTGAAGTCTCGTGGCACCTCCATCGAGGAAATACTCCAATCTCCCAGTGTTCAGGAATACCGCAGTGCCATGTTGAACCTGCGCAATCAAGGTGAGACGGAGGACAGTATCAGCACCTACAAGCAAAGTGTAAAGAAAATGCTGGGCATTGCTTAGGCTTCCCCTGGATCCCCGGACTGTGCCACCAAATTTCCCCAAAAAAATTACATTCCTGTAATTTTTAAGATGGACTCCACACTAAATGGTTTGTTTTGTGTGGGTGCTAGTGTGTTGAATCACATGCTAGTTTCTTGTAATATTTGGGACTGTGGTGCAAAGATCTCTCATTTATAATTCTCAGATCTGTACATCGAAATCATTCTGCAATGTTAGTCTGATGCTTTTTGGAAAGAGGGAAATTTTGCCTTGGTGGGAGTGGGGAGACACCATCCACTGCAGGAAAATTTTGCTATGTTGGAAGGGGCAGAGACCTCATCCATTACAGGGAGATCTCAACATTTGTTGGAGGAGTGGATACACTGTCCACTGCAGGGGAATAGTGCCATGATGTATGTATTGGAGACACTATCCACTGCAGGAAAATATTGCTATGCTGGAAGGGGCAGAGACATCATCCATTACAGGGAGATCTCAACATTTGTTGGAGGAGTGGATACACTGTCCACTGCAGAGGAATGGTGTCATGTTGTATGTATTGGAGACACCATCCACTGCAGGAAAATATTGCTATGTTGGAAGGGGAAGAGACCTCATTCATTACAGGGAGATCTCAACATTTGTTGCAGGAATGGATACACCGCCCACTGCAGGGGAATAGTGTCATGTTGTATGTATTGGAGACACTATCCACTGCAGTGGATTTTAAACATTGTGAAAAGAGCAGCGACCTCAACCACGGCGAGGAAATATTGTCATGTTCTGGGAAGGGTGAGGACATCTACTGCTGGGAAATCTCACTATTGTGGGGGAGGAGAAGACATTAAATACTGCAGGAAAATGTCACGGTTCTGGGAGAGATGGAGACACCAACTATGTTAGGGAAATTTCACCATTCTGGTCAGAGCAGAGACATGGTTTTCTGCAGGGACATCTCATCACTGAAACCCTGCTAGCTGTAAAAAAGCCATTGTAATTTTTATGTTCACGTGAAATTGAAATGTCAGGTGCCTTTGTCTTGTCTTATCTATGAACAGTGAAGTAAAAATAAACCTTGCCTTTGTTAATATTTAGTGTACTGTGAAACTTTGTAACAGCCACATTTTGAACCCTTTATTGTAGAGTTTACTTGAAACTAAACTTTGATGCAATTTTGACATTGTCATACATTTGCTCTGCTATATTTGTGTACAATTTCATAGACAGAAAAGCATCCCCAACTGTATGTCTGTGTAATCCGCATCATAGCTGAATCATTGGTTATAATTACTGTTGGACATGATTGGCCTGAAAACCTGGACTCCTCTTCATAGCTACCCATAATGAAGCTGGTTCCAGCTATGTCCTCATCTTTTTTTTTTTAATTCACATAATCTTGTTTGGCAAGCAGTCCTAAGTGTACATTTTATAGAGAACTTTTTTTTTTCTTTTCTTGATGGTGATAAGACCTAATCTGACTGTCTAGCCAACCTCCTAAAGCCTGTTCCCTGTCAAGTAAGCCTTTACTATAGTTAACTCCTGTATTGCCAAACCATGATATCCTGTGGTACTAGCACCAGGTGCCTTCAACTGCTGTTGTGCTATTGCTGGGAGTCCAAGTTGTTCTTGTGCATTTAAAGAGGAGTGGGCTCCCTCCAGGTAAACCTGTCTTTAATGTATCCACTGTTACATATGCTCCATCTTGGAGACTCAAACATTATAGAGTTAGGACTGCAGTTTACAGATGAACCATAACGTGGGCACTGCAGCATCCATATTTGCAAACGTGAGCAACGAAACCTTCTCTTTTTAACATGAACTGTTAGATTGCAAACAAATCAGATACCTCTCTAACTGGTAAGTGTGCTGGGAAATGTTTGTATGTTATAGAGATGTAAAATTTTCAAAAATTTTTAAGCCATGAGAAAAAGTTGTATTTTTTTTATCGAGAAATTATGACAACAAAACTGTGTGGAGTTGTTTTACAAATTGAAAGTTGCTTTCTTACCTTGGGAAGGTGAAATGCAGTGTATGTAAAAGTATTACGCTTGAACTAAAAGTACAGCTTAGTAAATGAACTAAACTTGCTTTTTAAAATTTGTGATGATCCAGAAGCAGCAGAAAGAGAGTGTTTCTGGAATGGGAATTTTCATTATGGTTCTCATCATTTAATTCCATAAGGTATTTGTTAATTTCTTTAGGGCACCTCTGCCACGCAAGGATGCATTTTTGTCATCCTTGTAGCATTTGGAAAAGAATATTTCTTCTCACAATATTTGCAAATAGAAACTTTGCGCTCAGCAGAAATTGCACTGTGAAAAGGTTTCCAAACTCTAGTTATTGGTCTCACCATTTTACTGAGAGGAGGAAAATAACTATAGGTAAACATTATTCTGTGAAGTTGGAGAGCTTTATAGGAATCATTTAAAGGTTTATAAAGATAAATGAATTTGTGAAGACACATTTACCCTCTTACCTGTCAATTAAGGCCTGAGAGGACAGAAACTATCATCTACTGTATACCAACAATCACACTGTTGTAGGCGGTACAAGATTTTTCCTGCAGTGCCCCCCTAGTGGCAGAAATGCATATTTCTCTTGTTTGAGAACTGCATTGAGAAGTACAATGTTACTTGAATTGTGTTCTAGGATTTTCTTGTCTTCAGCTGCGAGAACCTTCAATAATTTAAGACTTTACATAAAGTCTCAGAAATCTTTCATTAAGGTCTGCATGTTTTATAGTGTGAACGCCATGTCATAGATATGTCAATTTTTCCGTTTTTTCCAGGCCTTCTGATCTCTAGTTTGTTACTGGCAATGGGTGCAGTTTTTATTGCAAGTACAAACTTTGGGATTTTTACATAACTCTTACCCCACCTTCCCTAACATGAGTTGTTAGAGTGGCTGCTCAGTTAATCTGTATTGAGAACATATTTTTTTTTTTTCGTATTTGTAAAATAGGAAGCATCTTCAGTTGTTAGGACCACACATATAACTGTTCCCACTCCAAGCAATACTCAGTTTTTTTGCTAGTGTCCTTGGGTGATGGAGGTCCTCTCTCTACTGAGGGCAGGTTTCTGACTTATTATTCCAATTTCTACCTGAAAAATCGAGTGGTTTACCTGTTACAAAAAAATGAAAGGAATATGCTTGGCTCATCGCAGCTAGATGTCCTTTCTCCACAACTGCATCTACAGTCACTGTTGCAAAATTGTTGCAGCTTCTGGATCGGTCGCCCATCAGCAGCACCTGAGTCTCTTCTAGACTTCTAAAGCCAAGGCTTCTACTCTGGTTTGCCCTGGGCATCCAAGTCAGTGAAGTCTGGAACCAAGTCCCTCTTTCAAAGTAGGTGCTCCCTCTACTTTTGCAAGTTGGAGGGAGTCATTTGGTCTTTTCTGCCACATGGATCTGGGCATTTCTGACCTTTTGGTCTGGGATGGGTGTCCCAAGGATACAGGGTACAGAATCTCACTCCCTTTCTCCTCTGCGCTTTTAGCCCTTAAAACGTCCTGCCTTTCCAATGAGATTGAAAGCCCTTCAGACTGCCTTGTAGCAACCTCACAATACAAATTAGTGAGTGATTTCCCAGTTCGCTCGGAGGACTTCAGGGTATTTTATTCAAACCTGTTGTTTTTTTATGGTCCAGAAGCCCAATGGGGCATTTGCCCCTTTGTAGACTTGAAGGTTCTCAACACCACCTTGCATGTCCATATGGAATTAGCCTGATCTGTAATTGCATTACTTTCACAAGGGGATTTTCTAGCATAGCGAAACATCAAGAATGCGATTTTACACGTTTTTATTTTTTTCCTTGCTTCAGCCGGTTCTGTGGTTTGCAGTTGGCAAACAGCACTTCCAGTTTGTGTCTCTTCCCTTTGGCCTGTCTATGGCCCCCTTGGGCCTTCACCAAGGTGCTTGTGCACTCAGGAAATTCACATTATTGGATATCTGTATGTGCTCATCTTGAAGGGACACTCCACCCAGGCTCTGACAGCCAATGCATAGCAGACAATACAGACAGTTTTTAGATCTTTGGGTGGATCTTCACTACAGAAGTAGGTACTCCACAAAAAAGGATTTTACAGGTAGGCAAAAAATCCTTATTTCAGGGCACAAAGTTTCCAAACTTTACACATTTTAGATATATTTTACAAATATCTGTGGGCCAAAAAATATCAGTTTTATAAATGAATGGACTACATTTAAATGAATGGATAGTCTCCCAGAAATAACTTCACATTAGAAGCTACCAATCACATTCAAAGTCCCCCCTTTTGCACATCAGGGTCCTCCACATCACATCATAGAATAGTAGGAAAAAAACAAAACAGTGGGACTTTAAATACCCCCCCAATTGTCAAATATGCACATGACACACTTATTAAAGTTTTTACATAACTTTATTCCAATAATTAAAAAAAAAATCATAATGTGATGACTAAGGACAAAGTACACACACGGCATGGTCCCAACAAGCCAGACCAGCAATGAATGGGGTTTATTTACTAAAGCTGGAGAGTCCAAAATCAGACTCCCTTCTGCATAGAAACCAATCAGCTTCTAACCTCTGCTTGTTCAATGAAGCTTTGGCAATGAAACCTGGAAGCTGATTGGTTTCTATGCAGAAGGGAGTCTGATTTTGGACTCTCCAGCTTTAGTAAATAAACCCCTATATGTCTTGGATGCTTAATGACAGTGGTTGTTATGGTGCTGCTGACCGGCCTGTCTGCATCATGAAAACCCATGGTGCAAATATGGGTCAAGCTGCTGTAGACCAGGTAAAATTTTGTAGTAGGTCAGATGGGCCCATGGCCACAGGTTAGAGAGTACTCATTCCCTGGTGGTATCAACAGGTTGGGCTTAGGAAATGGGCAGAATGATGTGTTGTAGAAGAGGGGGCCTGAAGAAGATAAGTACAGGTTAGGTGCTTTTATCCTTTTCCCAACTGTTGCTCTATGCGATTGATATCTGGACTCATTGCTGGCTAGTTCAGTACTCTAGTGATTTGTCTTAAACCATTT